CCCCAAAACCCCAAAACCCCAAAACCCCTTTGTTAGGGATTTTAGTTGAGAAGTTAAAGTTCCAGAATAATTATGTGTTAATCAATTTCTTCCACCTTGCAGTTTGGGTTAGGGAAGACTAAGGGGGTCTCTTCTGACATCTCGCAGTCGAGGTCTGACCTGTAGAGGGAGTGTTAGGAGAGTTAGAATGTGTTTTTAGAGGGTAAATACTTACCAGAACTGGTGGAAAAGTAAGTCATCGAAAAATTTAACGTCACTGGTATTATGATTGAAATTTTCGTTAAGATCTACATCATATTCCATTGAGAATTGACTAAGATCTTCGTCATCGCTTAGGGTGTAATCGTCTTGGTCTCTATCTTCCAGTGTGGCTTGCTCGTTCCTATCCGTTTTGTCTACACTATAAACCACACCTGTTTCACCTGTATCAATAACGCTCATGACAAGAGTCTCATTTGCTTTAAGTCATTTAAATTGTGATCTAAAGGAAAATCTTATTATCATTATAAAAAGATTCCCCTCTACAAAATTCGAACACTCTCTTCCTCCCAAATCCCTAAAACCCAATCAATTTCACTTCTTTTGCCTTCGTCCTCACTCAAAATCTATTATCTCTTCAAATTCCCTTAAACTTCTAATTCCAATACCCCATCACCGGCTGGAGACCAACCAGCCTGCCTCTTTAACTTTATTTTTGTACTCAATAAAATTGCAGAAGCTTTAATTATATTCCGTGCTTACCTTTGTCAGTTAAGTTTGATGAAGTAGTCACTAGTCATGGCTCTGCAGGGGATAGCCTCTTTTTTGTAGATCTTGGAGACAACTTTGTTCAGGACCGTACGCCCAGGAGGGGTTGTGATGAACCTGATCATGGAAAATATATTTGGTCATTCTTCTATAAAAAGCAATTAAGATATATCCAAATTAATTCTAGAATCTTTTCGAAATTTAGTAAATCACCCTTAAATCTATTACCAGCTTTATCATGAGGAACCATTTGGGCAACTTACCTTTGAAGAACGGGTTCTTGGCCAGGTATTTCCTTAGGTATTTATGCAGCTTAGAGTACACTTTAGGGCAATATTTCTGACATTTGGAGAGAAGAGCATGCATCTTGTCTTCTAATTGGACCTGAGATGGAACCGCTAATGTCCAACAATCCGACTGTTCTTTCTGTAATGTTCCCAATACATCGACCTATTAAGAGGTTAGAGTTTTGGAGAAATAAAGCTGAATGTAGGATAATTGGAGTACCTTTTCACCAAATAATGATTTCTGTAATCGTGAATAGCCTTTAGACATTTTTCTAGATTTAGAAAATGAATAGTCTGGATCCATTTTCATCATCGATTTGCCATATTGCTTAGAGGCAAATTTTTGTTCTCTTTTGTTTTTAACCTTATATCCTGTTTTATTGTTGTCTAACTCCATTGGACAGTCGAATGATTGATCTCTAAAGGTCTGAGTGAATTTTTGACTCGTGAAGAAAAATGTTAAACTACCAGGAATGGAATTCAGATAACGTTTCATGAAGTATACTTACTCGCTTTCACCAAGAGATAGTGCCTGAAATTGGTCAATAAGCTTTCTTCTTTTTAATTTCCTTCCATCTCACTCCTCTAGAAATGTCTTATCCATTTCCTGCGGAGTAAACTCTGGTTCTGAATAAAAAATACTGAAAGAGTCTTTCTCCATTCTAACTAAAATATATTAATCAAGTGGCTAACTTTTCACGGGGTTTTGGGGTTTTGGGGTTTTGGGG